GTTAAGGGTGGGGCTTTACTGATTGGCTAAAACCTACTAAAATTGTACTATGCGAATAAAATTTTCCAGAATATTTGAGGAGAGACAAAAAGGTTAATCGTGGAACCAAAAGTGCCACTAAGGGAATAAACGTTGCGATGATCATTAATCCGGAAAGGGTAAAGATTCTCTTGTCCTTACCTTAAAATTAACTTTAGCATACACCTAAACTACACCTTTCAGCTTACCCCAGACCCTGGCCAAATGCCTAGCACTACCATAGACATTTAATCTAACCTTAACGTTAACCCTTAACCCTGCCCATAAGGATATCACTATGCTCCCTGGAGTTCGGTGTTATGAGAGCCGTTTTTGGGCTGTTCCTATTTTCATTTCCTTTTTCATTGATTAGGTCAGTAATCCAGCGGTCAGCACATCACTTCTATGAATTGTTCTGCATGGCCGAAGAGTGAATCGTAGGGCAGGCGAAATCCTCCATAAAAGAAACTACCAAGCGCAGGCTCCGATGGGAGCTGCGGCCCAACTCATCCAAACCATGGAGCTTATTCGTCGTGTAGGTCCGGCCGCTTCCATTAAATTATATCAGTGTATAGGAATTAAATAGTCTTACGCATTAAAATTCCGATACTCGAATACCATTTAATAGGAGTAGGGGACCTGACTAAAAAGGAGCTACTAGAAAGAGAAGAGATTACTTAGTGATCTTTCTTTTTTTGAAAACTGTGATCACAGGTTTGATGTTAACTTAATTAACCGGCCAATGGTTTGATAATAGAAAGTCATGTTCAACTAAGAAATACGACGTATTCGTGAGATTCATACTGGAAGTGACACTCTAAGACCAACCCACAGCTTATGTTTCTGCGAAAGCCAGTGTAAACACCGAAGTTTGAGAATGAAAAGACACGACAAATATCCTTTATTAAGTTGAGTCATTATTTTTAAGATTTATGACTACGCTCTGGACCAGGTCTCGAGTGAATCCTCACGCGACATCAAAGAGGCGTCTTCTCGACTGCTCATGATCCGACTATCATTCCAGATTTCATAAAATGCTGGCAGATACGATCCGGCAGTGAAAACTGCAATTGATTTGTCCAGCCTATCCACTTACTTCAGATATTTCTACAAAATTAGACAATTTCGTAAATTAGCACAGTTACAGGGAAAAGTTCAAGAGACTACTCTCCATTTCAGATGGTTTGATTAGTAATTCGAGGGCGCGAATATGCGCACAGCAAAACGCACTACAACTACGAGCAGCAAGTGAAATTAGCATATTTCTATATAGCCGAATTGCAGCCAAATCACGGTCTTAACCCGTTTCGAATTCATTCTCTGCTGACCATACGGGCAGCTGTGCAGTTACAAGTAAGCAATTGTTATTGTCAGCCAGTTAGCTGGTGTCATTATGAGACCATTTGGTGTTATTCGAGGTTGGAGCTCC